TATTCCATTTATTTTATTCACCCATTTTTTGACGGAATTCGTTTTCCGTCAAAAATCTTCAACGGAATAAATTTTCCGTCGAAAAACTTCACAAAATTAATTTCTTTTCCATTTATTTTATTCACCCATTTTCGACGGAATTCATTTTCCGTCGAAAACATTCACAAAATCAATTTCTTTTTCATTTATTTTATTCATCCGTTTTCGACGGAATCCATTTTTCGTCGAAAACATTCACAAAATTAATTTCTTTTCCATTTATTTTATTCACCCGTTTTCGACGTAATTCATTTTCCGTCGAAAACATTCACAAAATCAATTTCTTTTTCATTTATTTTATTCATCCGTTTTGGACGGAATCCATTTTCCGTCGAAAACATTCACAAAATCAATTTCTTTTCCATTTATTTTATTCACCCATTTTTGACGGAATTCGTTTTCCGTCGAAAATCTTCGACGGAATCAATATTCCGTCGAAAAACTTGACAATATTAATTTCTTTTACATTTATTTTATTCAACCGTTTTCGACGGAATTAATATTCCGTCAAAAATCTTCGACGGAATTATTTTTTCGTCGAAAAACTTCACAAAATTAATTTCCTTTCCATTTATTTTATTAATCCGTTTTCGACGGAATTAGTTTTCCGTCGTAAATCTTCGACGGAATTCTTTGTCCGTCGAAAAACTACACAAAATTAATTTCTTTTGCATTTATTTTATTCATCCTTTTTCGACGGAATCAATTTTCCGTCGAAAACATTTCGACGGAATCAACTGTCCGTCGATAGTTTTTGACGGAATCAATTTTCCGTAAAAAAATTCAACGATAAATGAATTCTGTCGAAAATTCCATCAGTAATTTCCACGGAAATTTTTTTCGTCGAAAATAATAACTTTTCTAGTAGTGGTGGGAGCACTTAAATTTTTTTTGAACCTGGACCATAGAAATTGTTCTCAATGAAAAGAGGGGAGGAGTAACTATTGCAACATGGCAACTTCATGTAAGTTCTTGTGGTGCTTTGCAACGACATGAACTTATTTTTTGGGTTTAGCATTTTTTAGTGAATATAGATAATTTATCTCTAATGAACCTAAAACAATATTGTTTTGAGTTGAGTTAATTTATTATAGGGTTATATTAGTTTTTATTATTTTAATTTTTTAATTTTTCAACGCAAAACGATATAATTTTTTTAATGGCGACAACCTTATCTCCATTGAAATGCTTTTCCCTTTTTTTTATTTGCTTGTTTGTATTTTTTGTCATAATTTATCTTGTGTAATTTATGTATTTGCAGTGTGATGTGATAAACAAAAATCAACATTAAATATAAAAAATAAGGGAATTAAACCTTTTCATATCCATGCAATTAGCTAGGGGTGAAACTGGGTTGGGCCAGCCCACAGGGGCCTACGACTCGTCCTACGTCAGATCAGACCTGACCTAGTATATTTCATAAAATAGGTCGAACTTGGGCTTGAAAAAGCTTGTTTACTAAAAAGGCTGTAGGCCCACTTTCACAGGGCCTGGCCTATAAGCCTACAGGCCGGCCTATATTGTACTATTTATTTTAAATAAAATAGAATAGAATAAGTATGCCTTGAAAAAAAAAAGATATAAATTTAATCAATTGTAATTATTTATAACTTAATTATATTCAATTATATTTTTATAGAAATCTAACTTTATTTCTTATATAGGAGGAACCAACATCTCAACATGTTAAATTGTGTATATGAATATATTAAAAGGTTCTTGGAAGAGGTTATACTTACTACAAACATCATGATGTGTTGTTGGATTCATGTAATTATTTTAGTATGGATTTGTTTGTTGAATCTGATGAAATATTTGTTATTTAGTTTAAGCATTTTGCTTTTGAAAGGGACTTAAATGCAGATTGTATGAGTTTTGTTGTGATTCATGATTTTGTTTGGACGTTGAAATTATGATTTTTGGTTTAGCAACAGAATTTGAGTATTTTGTAAAGTTAATTCATGGTTTTGTTTGAAAGTTAAAAATTAATAGGCTAACGGGCTAGGCCAGGCTATTTGTTTTTTATAAACGGGCCAAGTCAGGCTAACAGTTAGACTCGTAATAGGCTTGGGCCAGGCCAAATTGAAATTTTTTGGCGTAGACTTGGGCTTTTCGGGGCAAAGCTTGGTCCAGCCCAGTCCACTTTCACCCCTACATGCAATGATCAATATTGTTGATTGTATGGTTTGTTATCCCTTAAGTGTTGTATTCATCATAAGAGTTTTCATATAACCATATTATTATCTTCTTCTTTTTTCGAGTTAATCTAACCCTAATTACATTTTAAAGGTGAGTTGATTCCCCTCAGTATCTCTACAAGCTTCGACTCTTCGAGTCGGTTATGAGACTAATCTAGAGTGCGGAGCAGGTCAGAGACGAAGATATTTAAATTTTTCCCAAAAATAATATGTCGGGATCAAACCCCATACTGTTATCTTTGACTCTATATAATATGGATTTAATTTCAAAAGAAAATGATTTTTCAAACTTGTTCAAATTTCAAATACATTTTAAAGAATTTGATTTAAATTTTTCAATACACGCAATGATTTAAAATATTAATGTATGATTTTTCATCCATATTATATCGATTTTCATATAATTATGAAATCTTAAACCTTACGCAATATAAATTTTATAATCCAAATAAAATTGCTCTCTTCCAACATTTTTTTTAGGGAAGAGATCTTTTGACTCTAGGGTAAGACTTCCAACTCTAGCTCCTCATCTCAATCGTTAATTTCCGTCCATTTAACGGTTATCTAAAACAATTAATTATTTATTTATTTCAAATAAATAATAACCGTTAGATAGATGGAAATCAACGGTTGAGATGAGGAGTAAGAGTTGAAAGTCTTACTCTAGAGTCAAAAGATCCGGCTTTTTTACCCTTATAACCCTTAATTAATAATTAATTATCAATTTGACCTTCATTTGAAACTAATTCAAAAATTTAACCCCTTCAGAAAATATAACACCAATCTGCCCATGTTTGACCGTTGACCACCAAGCCTACCCGGGTACACCCCTACCCGGGTAGGAAGGGGTGTACCCGGGTAGAGTTCTTGAATCTGGAAAAATGGTTGAATTAGTTACCCGGGTAGGAAGGGCTCTACTCGGGTAAACATCGACTTGCAGAAAAATGGTGAGTTTTGCAGAATTGGGGCTCTTATACTGGAAGCAGAACGATAAAGAGTTGAGGAAGATTAGAGAAACTAGGAGCTAAGTGCAAAATCACTTTCATTCAAGTTCTTCTGCTCCTGTCATTCTGGCGAAAATGAAGCCTCACAAAGCTTTCATAGCTTCGACATTTTCGTGGGTCTTGATCTTCTTCCTTACCATTTCTTTGTATGGGGGAAAGGCATCAAGTGATGAGGAGCATGATCATGTCAAGGCTCACGAGGGACCTGTGGTGGAGAAGGATCAGAGGAGGACATTAACTGTCACTGAATACGGACAGATCTCTGCCATTGATGTCAAGGAAAAACAAGGAGCACCACCCTACCATCTTCAATTCTTCACATTGGAACCAAACTCTCTGTTTCTTCCTGTGCTTCTCCATGCAGATATGGTCTTTTATGTTCATACAGGTACCCTTTATTTTTCTGAATTCTAATTAGAAGATAATTCACTTTTTAATTACAATGTTCCTCTAATTATCGACTTAAAGCAATTATTGACCGCAAATGCAGAGAGAAAGAAACTTAGGATTTATGCAATGTTTGCCAAGACAGACGATAACACTTACGTAAGAGTTGCCCATGTATTTTTTCACTGAACTTATACAACAAGAATGAATTGGAAGTTTTTTAAGACTCGTTTGCTGTTGTTAATTGTTGACCGCAAATGCAGGATCCATTGATCGGTGCTTACTCAAGGATCAATGAACTGGTCAAAGGCTTTGATAAGAAAATCATGCAAGCAGCACTCAAGGTATTACTTTTGGTTCATAACAGTAGATGGCAAAAGCACAATGGCAAAATTGTACAAGTCTATTGTTTACCCGGGTACATCCATTCCTACTCGGGTAACTAATTCAACCTTTTTTCCATATTCAAGAACTCTACCCGGGTACACCCCTCTCTACCCGGGTAGGCAAATTTTTTTAAAAAATACCAGGGTAAGGAGAGGTGTACCCGGGTAGGCTTGGTGGTCAACGGTCAAACAGGGATAGATTGGTATTATGTTTTCTGAAGGGGTTAAATTTTTGAATTAGTTTCAAATGAAGGTCAAATTGGTAATTAATTATTAATTAAAGGTTATAAGGGTAAAAAAGCCCAAAAGATCCGTCTCTTTTTATATATATATATATATATATATACAAACCCCAGTTATCTCTTTTCTAACATTTTAAATTCAAAATTAGACCCTTATCTATTTAATAGATTTGTTTTTGAATTTCCAATATCCTAACAGAGATACAGTACATTAATTGGGTGGCTTGCTAACAGCCATACGGTACATTAATTGTCTAGTACATTAATTAGGTGGCTTGCTAGCTAGTGTGGTTTTGAATATTTTGTAATGATATAATATACATTGCATAGTTTTATCAGTTAATATAAAAATTCCTTTCGTTGTTTCGAAGCATCCGAATTCCCAAGTGTTTGTTTATATATATATATATATATATATATATATATATATATATATATATTAATTTTTGCTTTTTGGCGTTGGAGAGGGCAGGGAAGGGAAGTATATATAAACCTGTTGTGCTGCTGTCGTTGGCTCCACAGAAAGAAGAAATGAAATGGAATATGCAGATGGAGGAAATCGAAGCGATTCTCGAGAAAATCTGGGACCTCCACGACAAGCTCAGTGACGCTATTCACTCCATTTCCAGATCCCACTTTCTCAGCTCAATCAAAACCCTCAGAAATTGTTCTCACAATCAAAACACTAACACCGCCGACGACCGCGCCGGTTTCGTCTTCGTCAAGGACTTCCGCCCCGACGACGCCGTCCACGGCGAAGACGACTCCTCCCTCCGCGAAGCCAAGAGTCTCAACTCCATAAGGACCGCACTCGAAAACCTCGAAGACCAGCTCGAGTTCTTCCATGTGAGTTTTCTTTTTTTCTTTTCTTTCACTTTTTTATTTTTTTTGGCTATCCTTTCATTTCCTTTTAATTCGACGAATCTGGACGTAAATAAGGTATGATGTAGAATACTTGTTGTGTTATAGCTTGAAGTTTGATGAAATTGGATATTAATTGCTGTTTCTGGTTATTGTCCTTTGCTTCTCCCATTTCTGTGGCACAAAAAACTTGACGTTGTTAAGGATTTCGTACGCGTAATGATTGAGGGATAGAAAATACAGGATGCACGAGACCACTGATCATTGGTTAGGAGATAAGTTTTGCGGATGTGTGTATGACTATTTTTACCTTTTAAATTCGACTAGACACACCAACGCTCTTGGATGAAATAGCATTATATGGGGACCTGATTTTGTAATACTGTATGTTTTTTGAACAATGAAGCCTTTGCTTTAAATTGTGTTTCAGTTTTGGTTTGGAATATGCTGTTTGCATATCATACATGTATTGAGCTAGTTTGGTTGTGAGTTAGACATGACATGACATGACAACTCATTAAAATGACCCCAAGGGGTGACCATGTAACTTGGGGAAACAAAAGGAAGGATGGAGCATGTTAAGAATAAGATTTGATTAATAAGGTTCAAATTGATTATTGAAAAGTAGAGTATTAATAAAAATTATTTCTTGCATTTAAGTGTGTTTCTAGGTGCGGTGATATTGTCTATGGATAGTTACCCCTTTCGAGGGTTCTACAAAATGACTACATTTTCTTCAAAGTGGAATCCACTTTTTAAAATGATGTAAAGTCACTTCATTTTGTTGTCACTTTTTCATTTTAGTCTAAACCTTGTACTAGAATAGGTCGTCTGTTAAACCTATTGTTATTGTTCTCCCAGTCTCGACCCTTCACTTGAGGTGTTCCACCTGTTACTTGCCTCTTTCCAATTTCTAACCCTCTTTTGGTCATTCTATTCCTTCCTTACATGCTGTTAGGAAATCACGCATCACTGGGGTGTGTTATAGGAAGGGGAGTATAGGATTAGACCCCTAGGCAATCCAAGTGTGACTTGATCTTGGAAGGAAAAACTGTTACAATAACTTTCGGAGGATGTCAACCTAAAAATGGAATAGGAGGGAGTCTAGAGGGTAAGAAAGAATTAAGAGTGAGGTTTGTAAGGAGACTGACTTTGATACCAGGGAGCTTAATACAGATCATGGTTGTTAGTATCGCACGATACGCGATACGTATCGTGCGATACGATACGATACAGTGTCAAATCGATACGGATCGCAATAGCAAATCGTTTTTGGCATGAATCGTGATTTGGAATCGTAGAATCGAACGATTCGCAACCGAATCGTGAATCGAAATTTTTTTGCGATTCAGAATATAAAAAAAATTTAAAAAAAATTTAAAAAAAAACACTCAACAGTCGTTTTAAAAAAAACACCTCAACAGTCGCTTGGAACGGCATGTATATGAAAGGTTGCTTCAGAAAAATCAGGGATTCAAAATCCCATTTATAAAACAAAAGGAAACACGAAGCAGAGGAGAAAAGAAAACGCCTTGCAGACTTGCAGAAGAGTAGCGCTCAAAAGACTTGCAGACCTTGTGTAGAAGAAGACTTGCAGAAGGCAAAGGAGTACGGGTATTATTTTTGAAATGGGTGATTTGATTTGTGATTGGAATTTGTAAATTGTAAATATATTAAAATATTACAGACACAGTGCTTGCTGAAGTCGTTCAATTTAAAATGCATGAGACTAGGAGAGGATGTGTCTTATAAATAGATTATTGTTTCTATTTATAAGACACGTACACATTTCAAATCAGCTTTTTTGTGTATGTGTCACTGTCATGTTGAAATTGAAAGTGCTATTGCCTATTGCTGAATGAAAGTGTTATTGCCTAATGAAAGTGCTATTTCCTTTTTCATTTAAATAGTGAATAAATTCAATTGAGTATTAGTGCATTAGCTGAAGACACCTACGGACCTACCTAATATATTTTTCACAAAAGATGTATCTTTAAGCTTTTGGTTACTTTGGCAAGCTAGCAACAGAATTCAACAATCTGGAGGGTTCTGAACAGAGGTGTACAAAAAGTTCAAAAAAAAAAAAAATCAAACCGAACCATTTTATGAATAATCGGTTCTACTAATTCTTTTCTCTAACAACTAGCCTTTATAGTTTTATTTTATTTTTACTGTGAAGTTAAATAGTACGTAAGTAGCCTTTGATTTTTTTTTTTCTCTCTTTTACAGTAATAAAAATAATAAAAATGGCTCCAAAGAAGAAATCCCAAAAACAGAAGGATATAACTTGGGATCATTGTAAATCCCTTGCGAATAGGTTGAATGTTAAATGTAACTATTGTCCCAAAACAATGTGGGGAGGAACATTTAGAATGAAGCACCATCTAGCTGGAACACACAAAGAAGTTGCTCCATGCCAACAAGTGCCGGAAGAGATAAGGGATCTATTTAAAAAAATATTAGAGGATGCAAGAGATGATGATGAACTAGAGTGCTTCGATGATAAAGATTCACAAAAAAAAGGGAGCATGGATAGTTTTATGATAAAAGGAAAAAGTGGAAGTGGCTCATCTGCTATGAAACAACAAACTATAAATTCAATGGTGAAGGATAGAGATTTGGTGGTTCGAGATATTTGTAGATGCATATATGGCAATGCATTGCCATTTAATTTAGTTAAGAGTCCACTATTTATTAATATGGTGAAGTCTATTAGTGAATATGGTAGAGGCTTAAAACCACCAACTTATCATGAAGTGAGGGTGTCATATTTGAAGAAAGAAGTTGATCTTGTCCATACTAGTTTGGATAAATTTAAGTTGGAATGGAAGAAAACTGGTTGTACATTGATGTCAGATGGATGGACTGATGGAAAGGGTAGATCTCTTACTAATTTTCTTGTTAATAGTCCTAGAGGGACTGTTTTTATAAAATCTGTTGATACAAGCAGCTTTATTAAAGATGCTGAAAAAATGTTTGAATTACTTGATGAGATGGTGATAGAAATTGGAGAAGAGAATGTCGTTCAAGTAGTGACAGATAGTGCTTCAGCCCTTGTATCTGCTGGACAAAAGTTGATGGATAAAAGAAAGCAACTCTTTTGGTCACCCTGTGCAGCCCACTGTCTTGATTTGATTTTGGAAGATATTGGTGGCATTACAGTGTTCTATAATACCATTTGGAAAACAAAAAAAATTACAACTTTCATTTATAGGCACACATGGGTGTTGAATTTGTATAGAACCTTTTCCAAAGGTAGAGAGTTAGCTAGGCCTGCAATAACAAGGTTTGCTACATCATATTTGACAATGCAGTCAATTTTGAAAAAAAGACTGCACTTCGATCTATGTTTACATCTGAAAAATGGGTTAATAGTGCTTATTGCTCTAGGCCGGAAGCCAAATTTGCAGAAAATGTTGTTTTGGCTGATAAAAGGTTTTGGAAATCAATACATTATTGCTTGAAAATTGTGTCTCCTCTTGTGAAAGTTCTTAGACTTGTGGATGGTGATTCAAAACCTGCAATGGGATACATTTATGAGGCTATGGATAGAGCAAAGGAAGAAATAGCAAAGAGTTTTAATCATGAGGAAAAGAGATATAAGGATGTATGGGAAATCATTGACAAGCGTTGGGATTTACAACTTCATAGGCCTCTTCATGCAGCCGCCTATTTTCTTAATCCAAAGTAAGTATAGGTTCTTTATATTTATTTATTTATATAAAATTCTTTGTATTTTATATTTGATTTATTATTAAGCCTTATTCTAAATTTATAATAATTATATAGGTTCCACTATGACACAAAGTTCAACCCAGATCGTGAGGTTAAAACTGGCTTATGGAAGACATTGGAGAAGATGTGTCCTGATATTGAAACAAGGATCACAATTGATTCCCAAATTGAGAAATTTGACAGGGCTGAAGGACTCTTTGGAAATAGTTTAGCAATTGCAACTAGAGCTAGGAAGCAACCTGGTAATCATCGAATTTTGTGTATTGATTAAATTATGTTTTGATATTTTTAAAATTAAAAATTAAGTCATTAACCAAATATTTATTTATCAATTATATTTTTTTTGCTAGCTTTATGGTGGAATAGTTTTGGAGACGACTGCAAAGAGTTGCAAACAATAGCTATTCGTATCCTAAGCCTCACTTGCAGTGCTACAGGGTGCGAGAGAAATTGGAGTGTGTTTGATCAAATTCACTCAAAGAGAAGAAACCGTTTAGAGCAACAAAGGTTGAATGCTCTTGTGTTTGTTAAATACAACCTTCAACTTGAAATTAGGCAAAAACAAAGGGAGGAAAAAGGAGACACATATGATCCTATCTGCTTATCAGATTTAGATTCTGACGAGGAATGGATTACTGAGCAAGAGGAGCCTTGCCTAATGGATGAGGAATCTTGGATGGATGTTCATGAGTGCTTCAACGTTGATGAAGGAGACCAAAGCAAAAAGAGAAAGAGAGGTATATTTGCATATATAATATTTCTTTTAATCAAACACCTTATCTAATATATTTATTTACATTATGTATATTTTTTTTTTAGGTCCTCGAAATCTTCAAGATGATAGGAATGATAAAGGCAAAGGCATCTTAATACAAGAGGATGTCAACATGAATGATAACAGAAAAGGATCTCAAATTATTGAACAAGATATGGGAGATGAGTCAGATGACTCTACTAATGGAGAGGATGAAGGACAAGATATGCCAATACTAGATCCTGATAGTGATAATAGTGATAATATTAGTCTTGAAATTTAATGAATATGAGAAATAACTGGTTTTAGATTTGGTTACTTATGGATTTTGGTATTTAGATTTTTTTTTAATTTGGATTTATATGATATTATATATTTTTAAGTTATTTTTAATTTGTTTCTGAATCTTACGATTCGATACGATTCACGATTCACGATATAAAAAAGCAGCCGAACGATTCACGATACGTATTGCGATTCAACAACCATGATACAGATTTCCCACTTTTTTTTGTGCCTTTCTGTTTCTGAATCTACCAAAATGGTATCAGGGCTACCGAGTGGCAGCTGTCAATGGTCCTCAATCACTGCAAAATGAAAGCTCGCATGTTCACCTTGGACAATCTAGCTTTTTTTTTTTTTTTTGGCTGTCTATATATGCTTGATTTTTTAATGTGGTTCTGTTCTAAGTCAAAATTTCAATCTGCTATGTTTTGTAGACCATTCAAACACAGCAGCGTGTTGAGAGAGATGCAGCAATTGCACGTTTAGAACAGAGCAGAATTATTCTTGCAATGAGACTGGCGGAACACTCTGGTAAAAATTATAAAGTCATTGAAGAAGCTCTTGCTTTTGTTGGAGATGTGCATGATGCAAGCCGCCTTGTTTCACCTGAAATTCTTTATGGACAACCTAACTGTTCTTCTGCTGAGAATTTTGTGACTGAGAAAGGGAAAAGATCTAATATCCTTATCAATGTTTTTGTGTCAAGTTTCAATTTTGTGAAGAAATCTCTTGGATTGGATCATATGGGCGGAATAGTGGGCAATGCTGCTTTGGTTGCAGTTAGTATGATTGCTTTGCTTCATTTACATCAAGTAACTAATCATGAGCATCCATGTAGGCCAGAAGATAGAGTTCAGGGCAACAGAACTGTGAGAAGAACAACTCAATTGGAGGGTTCTTCCTCCGGTGCCCTTTCCAGTAATTTGGATGTATTGTTGGCTAGAGGTTAGGGTTAAAATGTAATCTGTCTTCATGGTGGAATGATGATTGGGCTACTCTTTTAGTCTATCAAGGTTTATTTTTTATTTTATTTTTTATTTTGTTTTTGGTGTGCTCTTGGTCCTCTTAGTTTTTGTTGCCACCGAAAATTTGCAAAGTGGCATAAATAGTTGATCTGATGAGGTGTGAGATATAGGTTCTATTTGCTGGATTCCCAGTTGAGGTGCAGATGCTTGAAGTATTATACCGAGTTTGAAATCAAAACGTAGAATCCGTCTTCGTGCTTGATAGTGTCATTTGTGGTAGATGTCTGCCCTTTTTTGTCGGCGGCTTTATTGACGACGTGAGAATGCCTTCTACCTTCATTTTTCTTGTTGGTTTTTCTTCCCTCTTGTTATGATATTTTCTGTGAATACTTTAATGTTGCAATGAAGCTCATATTTTGGTGTTACTTTTCAAGAAATTGATTTTGCAAATACCATTGGTAGTTACTTGTTGGCTTTCATACAACTAATGGTTCTTTCAAGGCTTCGTGTGTGGTCAAGGAATGGAATTGAGCCTTGGAATTTAATCTTCCCATCTCAATTATCTTTTTTGCTGTATATATTTTTTTTTTTTTTGATAACATTTTTGCTGTATATATTACAATCAGGAATCAGCGTTCAATTTCGTGGAGGTGAAAATTTATTAGTTTATTTTATATTTAATTCTTAACTCAGACATTAAGAATTAGGGAAAATTATAATGCAATTATGAGACAAAAGTTAAAATTAATATTTTGGATTTTATTGTCCGTTATCTTTGTCATTTACATAACATTACCGTTGGCATAATTCAACAACTATTGTTAGTATTTTTATTTTTTTGGGGAGAATAACTATTGTTAATAACACGTTCCATTGCTAGTATCTTGAGTATGGTTATCATGTATCTTTGGATCACCACTGGTACAGGTTATAAAATTTTAATTTAATTCAGAATTAAATTTTATATTTTTATTCTTTATTTGTCTAAAAAGAAAATAAAGTACATTTTTAATTTGAATTGTACATAATTGAATTTGAAATTAGAATTTAATATCCTTATTTTAATTTTATCAGATTTGAAATTCAAAGTAGGCCTAATTTTCTTGGGCCAGTACAACTGAGACGGCCTTTTTAGCACATGGACTATGGGACTGTTTATGGAGGGTTGCTCTCTCAAAAGCCGAATTTCAAGAACCATCGTGAAATAAATCGAACTGTTATGTCATATGTGAGTCCCAGAAACTCAATAACATGGGCCACCCAATGACCTGAGTGGAGATGCTGACGCCAAAGCAAAAATTGACCTGGAATTCTCCACCAACTAGGACCCCAACTTGCTATTGTCATTGGAAGCAACATAGGGGATAGACGATAGAGTCAATACGCGATTGGAGCACAATATCAATATTGGGTGCAATTAGGGGTGTAAATGGGCCACCAGCCTACGGACCGGCCTACATTGAGCCCAGCCCAGGCCCGGCCTTTCAGAAAAGTAGAGTAGACTTAGGCTTATAAAAAAGCTTTTTTAATAAATAGGCCATAGGCCAATTTTGTCAAGCCCGGCCTACAGCCTTGTAGGCTGGCCTATTTAATTTATTAAAATAAAAATATTTATTTTATGTGGCAGACACAAAGTATCAAATACCAATATCTCTTACTTTTTGTGCTATTTTATTTTATGAAAGGAAAACTTGTCTAATGTCTCCAAATTTGACATGTTGTTGCAGCTTAATCCTATGGAGCAATGGGTACCTTGCTGGATTATGATGTTACTGATGAAGATCTTCCAATAATACTCTTCTTTCCCTTGTCTTGATGGTGGTTTAAAGAATTTTAGATGAATGACATTCTCTTGTAGACTTTATTTCAGCATCCAGTAATTGTATTTTTCTTATTTTTCCCATTTCTTTGACTCTATTCCTCTATGATATACACTCTAGAGCTGAGGTATTATGTTGACTCTTTCTTGTTTGTCATTTTTTTCTTATGAGAAGTACTAGTGCATGCATGAATGAAACTTTCTTTGCTCTATACAATTATTTTTTTTGCTTAGTATATATAGTGAGAGGCCTACAAGGCCTGTAGGCCATGTAAGGCTTTCTTATTTTTGAAAATGGGTCGGGCTTGGCCTACAAATATAGCCTTTAATAGGCCAGTAGGCCAGATAGGCTGAATTTTTTTTTACGTAGGCTTGGGCCAGGAGGGCCAAAGCCCAGCCCAGCCCAGCCCATTTACACCCCTAGGTGCAATAGCCTGAGGAAGGAATGTCGGCATATTTCCGTTTTCTCTTTTGTTTTGGATCTTTTTGACTCTGCCTTTTTAATTATTAAGATGTACAAAGAAAAAGAAAAATTAACCCCAAAAAAGTAGGAAATTGGAACACATAATTAACCTCCTGAAAACACTACTTTTGACTTCCCATTGGATGCATGTCTCACACGGCAATCTAATTTTTTTTAATGGAATGACCCATTGAGAAATGATAGGCATTAGACAACTAGAAAATATCCCTCCTTTATTGTCTAACTTTTGGTTGTCATTTCTTTTTATTTATTTTTTAAGCCATTTCTTCTCTCAATTTTTCCGCCTTTGCTAATTGACTTTTTTTTTTTGTCAACTAACTAAGCCTTTTATGATTTCGAAAGGGACATTATATGTATACAAGGATAAAGTGAAAGGAAGGAAAAAAATATGATATAACAAAACATTACCGAACAAAAAACAATTGTTAAAACTAATTTGCAAGAGCATTCATTGGCTGTTTAACTCAATTCTCTAAAAGTATTTGACTGGTATGTGTACCTAACGCAGGGCATTAGGTTCTGGAGTTCAGGGACTGGACCATTCAAGTGCTACGCAAATGCTGGAGCAACATCTCTCACAGTTTGGAATGTTCCCTTGAGGATAGAAGAATTGATTCCGAAGACACAACACAATCATGTATCGCCAGCCAATTGAAACAAATAGCAATATAGCATCAAGGAAAGGCAAATTCCATGCCTTCTCACATTGGCTAGTTGGGGACTGAGAGCAGTACCAATCATGCAAACCCATTCTCACAATGATTTCATCAACTAAGAAATGCTATCGTACTTGTCAAGAGCTCACTTTTACAAAAACTAAAACCTCTAACAATAGATATCAACAAGTCAACGTTAAAATTTCAAGTTTGTTTTGATTTGCTAGAAAATAAGAGAGAATACAACACAGTGAAAATTAATTGTATCATAAAATAGTATTAGTACTCGATAAGAATCTTAAATGTGGACCTGAGAAAGGTTTGAATCAAGTTACGCCCAATTTAATTAAACTTCCCACAAAACAAACTTAAACACAAAGTTGGAACCAAATGCGAGATAGCTTATCTAAACAAGAAGCAAACTCATCACAGGACTCAAACAAAGTATCTTGCTTACACATTAAAAATAAAACACAATCCGAACCAAATTTATCTAAACTGAAAAAATCAAACCCAAAAATCGAAAATCAAATAAAACTGAAGATAAAAAAATAGGTTTTTAAGTTTTTAAATTTATATGTCAACTTACATATATAAAATTAGGGATTTATACTTTTTATACAACATAAGAAGAAACTTTTCATACTATACTCACATCAATTTATATGTCAATATTTTTAATTTTATTTATTTAATTTTTTTCCAATGGGGCCCACCTGAATATGTGTGTTCTGCCAAAATTCTCTTCTTGTATTGCATGAGAAGTATAACCCCATAAAATTTAAATTTGAATATCCATAATTAAATGAAAACATACATATAGGATTCTTTTGTTGTCATAGCTACTTGTTAATTAGTAGGTGAACCGGAACCATGTGGAAACTCCAGGAGCGTTGTCAGGGAGAAATATTGGTCTTCATGACCATCATTAGCAATGCACTGTGGTCATTATGTACCTTTTCAAGAGTAGTAATTTCAAAACCTAACTTCCATTTCAGATCAAGAAAAGAAAGAACTACTTAACTTCCATTTGTTATGGCGCGTTGAGAATGCGTGTGGCCCTTTCAAGCTTTGGTTGTACTATGTTTAGTGTCTAGTGAGTGAACACATAACATATGTTAAGACTTTAGAGAAGGAGAATAAAAAATCCTTGGCAGCATGAAACTCATTACACATGAATCTTCACATTCCTCCCTCTCTCTCTTTTGACTCTTGACTCTTTCGAGTCATTGCCCCTGCCAACACCATTACCCTCCCTCCCTTGTCTCTTGTCGGTAGGTGACTGTGAGAACAGGAACATTATCTTGAAATATATATATTTTTTATTACATATTCTAATCGATTCATCACTTTATAATTAGTCTGATTCGAGACGATTATCAAAATTAAAACTTTAAATCTCTTCCAAAGAAGAATCGAACACATACTTTCACTTCTACATACTCAGTTTTCTAACACCAATTAA